ACACACACACACACACACACACACACATACACACACACACACACACACCAAGTCCATAAAAACATACTTTCTCTATTACCTAACAATGCTATATTTATGTTTTCAGATATTGCTACATAGCTACAGTTCTTAAAATGTGGCTCATAATACTACAAAGAATTTTCCTTTTTTCTGTGCTGACATTTGCACGAACAGTGCAGAGGCAACATCCAGTACAATCACTGGCACGTCACAAAAATCTAGAATTTGGCAACACACTGCTCTAGTGTTCAATGTATTTTTCATTGCCATCACTCACAGTTTCATAGTGGAAATAATAATTATCATAATATATAGCAGTAAAATTAAAAGAACAGCTCTACCTAAGTATATCTTTGTTTGCTTATACACATCCATATATCATATTATTCTAAATAAAATGTCAAGGAAAGTCTACTTAAGTTATTAAAAATAGAACTTAAGAAAGACAAAGAGTCCAAAGTTTCCAAAAGTTCCTAACATTTGGAACTTCTCTAACTACATTGTGAATGTAAAAAGGTACAACATAAAGTTATAGAGAACTGAATGGCATTTTGTTAAGTTGAGAAAACTAAAACCCAAGTTCAAAGGAGCAAAATTCATCGAGACAGGAAGAAAAAGAGATTGTCCCCTGTGGCCTTGTACTTCCTGACATGTACCATGTCATTGCCTATTACATGATGAAATGATTTAGAAGCAATCTGGGCCTGGTGGGAGAGATGAGAGGTTGTCAAAAATATTGCAGTTAACCCCCAACTAGCCTTTTCAGAAAGTAATCATGAGGGCCTCAAAAAAAAAAAAGCCAAGGTACTAGTCTGATAGTAATAATTGAGCAGTGCACTAGTGGAACAGGGAAATGTCAACCATTTAAAAACAATCCTCCCTAGTGAAGGGAACAAAGTGTAGTGCATTGAGGTAAAACTCTAGGGAGGCACAATGTCGAGTCATTTGCACCCAACATTAGTTTTCTTTTATGTCCTTTAAATCATGTGCATCACTGCTCAGAGAAGAAATACTTTGCCTGATCTCTAAGATGCTATGATGATGATGCCTAGGAAAAGAGGAAGGGAAGGGATGTAGTTACGATCAACTATCCTCATAGGAAAATAAAACGTAGTCAAGAATGAACCACATCAATAAAGAACCTCACCTGGATAGAGGTTGAGTTTGGGATCCTTGTTAACATCGGCTTTATTGTAAGGCCCACTGCTGGTCCTGTTGCTGGGAGGGGCATTTAGTGTGGCAGTCCTTACAGCATCTCTTCGAACATGCATACAGGAGGCATTTTCAGCATTTCGGTTTTTATTATGATGATGGTAGCTCATTTTATCTTTGGGATTTGGGGTGTGTACTGCTGTAAAAGAAAGAAGTAGGGGCGACAGATAAACAAGATGGATTAACATTCATAAAAATACACTGCATGTGAAGTATGGGGTAGCATAATAAAAGACAAGCTAAGCTGAAGGACTAAATTTAGAGGAATTGAGATTTTAAAGGAGTATTTGTTACATGACAAATGATTTGTCTATTTGGGTAGGAAATTTTTGATATTTAATCTCTTTTAAAATTGTAATTAGAAATACCAAATGCATGGATATTTTACCTCTTCGCATTCCAGAGCCAGAAAAGTTCTTTGGTTCGTCATAAATCCATTTTCTTTTCTTCACACCTTTAAAATGAGGCTTCCTCACTGGCTGCACATCACTCACTTAGAGAAGATACAAATTTTTACAGTTTTTAAGGGATGCTTTCATCTGAAAATCACTGAGGTGATAATTACATATCTGTGCATCCTCACGTCAAGCAAAAGAAAAACAAAATAAATGTACCACCCCAAGACTAGCTTCTAGAACAAAGCGTGACTCATTTTTTTAAGTGTCAAAAAAAAATCTCTTAGAATTATACTATTGAGGAACCCTTCAGTAAGATGTTTCCTTAAAATAATGTTTCATTTTCCCAAAAAGGAATGTGTGGATTCTTTTAAAGAATATTAAATTACATCCTAATTATAATTATAAATTCCACTGTAACGTTTTTAACATAACTTTGTAATTATCATCTTCAAAATAAATCTTTTTTTACTTTTTATCCCAAGTATTTTTTAATGTGGCAGATTAATACAAAATTCTTTTAGTGATTTCAGTTTTAACCTTTAAAGCCTTATGAAGTTGGATATACAGACAGGTTGGTTGAGCAAGACTGAATAATCAGAAATTGTGTTTATAATCAGGTATACATTTTTTATTTTACTTGGATATACTCACATCAAAATATCTACATGGATTCTCATTTTTTCAGGAATTTCTAAGGAATATTTTTCCAGAGACTCTTAAACCAATTTTGTACAGGGGCATTCTGTCATTCACAAAAACTACTACACAAAGAAAATTCTGTCATTCAAAAAAACTACTACACAAAGAAAATTAGTATCTTTACAGATTACAGAACACCTCCAATCAGGCTAGTAGATCTGTCTTTACCTTGGGTTAAGCTTTAAGTCCTCAATGAAGCTCAAAATCACTGCCCCCTCCCTACACAGCACATCCATCTCTACTCCCAAGCTCCCACACCTAGGATTTGGCATCCAAAGTTTTAACAAGCATCACTAAACTGAGCTTCCTGAAGAAAGTTATCGTGCATCCTTTTCAGTGCTTGATTACCAAGTATATTACAGGACTTGAGTATATGAAACAAGGAACAGGAAGAACAGAAGGAATCAAGATGATCTATGAGTCTTAACAGAATCAAAGAAGTAGCTCAATGCACTAATGACAAGAACCAGTCAAATCAAGAAAAATAACAGAAAACAATTAAAAAGCTAGTGATATTTCACTGTGGGTGAATTTGAAAATGCTATGCTAGTGATCTTCTGCTCAGAGTATCATATTATTATTTTAGTACCCAAGTTAAACTAGCTGAAATAATGTATTAGGACCTATATCACAATTCATTGTACAGACTTAATAGAGGAATCTTGTCTCTTTACCAATTTGGACTGAATAATTTTCAAACCATACTTTTTTCTCTTTTCAAAATAAGCAAAAAATAAAAAGATACACGATAAGACAAGCATACGCAAGGCTTAAAAGTGATAAATTGACATCTTACTTGAGGAGGGGTCCTCTCTACACTCCACACTGATATTCTCAGTAGCATTTAATATATGCATTGTAGATACTAGGCATGTAGTTAGGGAATGCTTTGGATGGAGACTCTCCTTGTTATCTTCTAAAACAGATTAAGAAAACAAAATGTCTATATTAGTAAAAGAAATAAACACTTCACATGGACACACCCACTATGTACATGTACATCATATTTTAGAATGCATCATTAAAATTTCTCAGTGGCTATATTATCCCTTGGGTACTGATGAAAGTTAACAATCTAGAACTGTAGCCCATAATTTTAATACTCAAATGAAATCATTGGAACAATATTTTAATATCTCCATGTAAAAGAATTAAAAGTTCTATTTTATAATAAGTGGGCCCATATAAATTGAGTTTCTGAAGATATTTTCAGTGTGAATACTCTGACTTGCTCTATGCTTTGCAATGGGATTATCCAGTAAACTTTGCACAATGATGAGAATATCCTAAATTTGTGCTGGCTCACATAGCAGCCAACTACATGTGCCTATTTACCACTTGAAATGGGGCTAGAGCACCTGAAAGGCTGAATTTAGTATATTATTAATTATACTTAACTTAAATTTGGATGCTCATAGCTAGTGGGTACCAAATTAGCAAAGCTTTCTTTTCAAGAGTTTCTTTGGAGGTTGGAGAGATGGCTCAGTGGTTAAGAGCACTGGCTGCTCTTGCGGAGGACCCAGGTTTGATTTCCAGCATCCACATGGTGGCTAACAACCATCTGTAACTTCAGTTCTAGGGGAATCCAGCACCCTCTCTTGACCTCCATGGGCACTGCACAACATGAGTACACTTACACACATGCAAGAAATATACTCATACATATAAAAATAGAAATTTAAATTTTGAAAAGCATTCCTTTGATGGATTAGGCAAAAAATTTTCATCTCTAAGTAAGAAAGATATACATATAATTTTCCACTAAAATAACACACATGCCTTTTTCTATGCTAAAGATTAATGTTGGAGAAAACTGTAGATGAAATGGTTTTACATTGTGACAGACTGATGTGAAGTCCTCTAATCTTATGAAAGTTGTACTGTCAGTCAGTGACAGAGGTGCCTAGCTGGAGACTGTAAGGGTAACACAAAACTACAGAAGTGGTATTTGAGTGTGTCTCTTGATTATTTGCAGATGATAGTTAGCAATTACTGTACAATAGGTACATCCTCACAAGAATAAGTATCTTTACATTGTCCACAAACAATGTTTTCTAACCAAGTCCAGTCATTCTGATATAAGCTGGGAAAAGAAAACTGAAAAGGACTTGGTGCTTCCATTTAAGGAGGCCAATAACTTTGCAGCTAGAAATGGTGTCATTCAACAAACTAATAGGAAACAGGTTATAAAACTAAAAGTCCCATGGTTAAAGCAATTAAGGACAGAACCAGAACCAGAACATCAGGGGTCCAAAGTCCTATCCAATGTGTTTTTAAATTTATTACCTTCCTGCTTATATTAGTTTCCACAACAACCAAGATCTAGGCTTAATTTATCTCTACATAGTACAGATGGGTCAGTTTTATGGAATGGTACCTTTGGTATTTGAACCTTTTGAGGTAATGGTTTCTTTCTCTTCGGCTAAAGCTTTACTTTCATCTACTCCAAGAAATATAATCCTCTGTGGACCATAGCAGTCACCTCCTAGGATAAAATGTTAGTCAGTTAGTGGCAGCAATGGCAGAAAGAAGCACATGACTGCCTTTCAATAGAGGAATATCCTCCACAATAAGCACCTGTGTTCACGTTTGCTTAAACATGTCCAAATGATGCTATGCCCACATCTCACACATATTAGAAATGCTTAGGTTAATGCATGTGTATTACCATATATGTAAACTTACATATAGATAATTGTAAGAACATTCACATATTTAACAAGTTAACATTTTTATCTTAAAACAGCAAATGTAATGTGTCTTTCATATAAAATCTTCAGATACATGAAAGCAGTTTTCATTCTCTTTAAAGACGTCCAATTTTTTTCAGAATAAATATTCACAGTTGCTTTAAACATCACATACAGAATTTATAGATCGTCTATGAATAACTAATACCATTAGGCAAATAAACTATTTTCTTTTAATCTCAGCACTCAGGAGGCAAAGGCAAGGGGATCTCGGTGAGTTCAAAGCCAGCCTGGTCTACATAGTGAGCTCCAGGCCAGCTGCTGGGGCTACAGAAAAAGCCTGTCTCAAAAAGACAAAAAAATAAAAAAGAAGAAGAAATACTTTTTCCCTTTAACAATCTACTTCATATGAAGCTTTTCTCCACTTGAAAAAAATCACTATTCATATCTTAAATCCAAAGTAAAAACTGTGTCACTATTTGCTATCTTGTTAAAGTTGGCCCATGGCTCCAGCACGTTAACTTCCAGCATCTAAGTTTTATAAATATGCATCCATTTACCCAGTCATCAAATGCCTTTAAATATATAATCACTGATTCTTTGGGCATTTCCTAAATGCACATATCTGAAGGACATTCTGCTGTCTATTTTTCTATGTTAATTATATTACTCTTCTGGCTTCATAAAGCTTATGTAAAACAAATGACAGAAGTTTCAGACTGGCTTCTGACATGGCTTGTATAGGAATAACTTTCTTGTCAAAAACAGTTAGAAAACAGTCCAAACAAACTAACTGGTCAGCATCCTAATGCTCACCACTGTCATGGCTGAGGACAGTGGTGGCTTAAACACCACATGCACATTCACTTGATTTTCACCTGAAGAAGTGAAGTGTAGCACTCACCACAACCCACCCTTTCCATGACAGTATTTTTAGTTCTTTCCAATGAGGAGTCACAAGTCAGCTGCGCTACAAACAAAGAGCCTAAAATTTGAGCCTGAGTAGACATGAGGGGGAATTCTAAAAGAAGAAGAGCTAAGAACAACTAACACCTTAACTGGTTACAAACCTGGGTTGCTACCTAACTGCACCCTTGATGTATACAAACTGAGACTCCAGAAAGCAAGATCTTGCTCCTGTGAGAATGGCCAACATGTAAAAGGCAACAAATGCCAGCATGGATACAGGGAAAGGGTAACACTAATTCACGGTTTGTGGGACTGTATATTGGTTAACCAACTATAAAAATCAGTGTGGAAGTTCCTCAGAAAGCTAGAAACAGATCTATCACATGATCCAGCTATATTATTCCTGGGCATATCCCGAAAGCACTCTCTATCCATTACAGAGATACTTCCTCATGCGTGTTCATTGCTACTTGATTCACAATAGCCAGGAAATGGAAACAGCCCAGATGTGTATCAACTGGTGAATAAATAATTAAATGTGGTAGATAAACACAATGGAATATTATTCAGCTGTAAAGAAAAATGAAATTGTGAGATTCTCATGTAAATGGAAAGGGCCAGAAATAATCATTCTCAGTAAGGTAACAGACTCAGAAAGACAAAGGCAAATGTTCTCTCTCCTATGTGGATGCTGGCTATGAATCTTTATATATGCATGTTTAAATTGGAGTACCCATAGAAGTCAGAAAACTAGTAAGGGGTCATATAAGAGAGATTCAGGGGAAGGTGATATAAAAAAGGGGGGAAGGAGAATAATGTAGCAAGAAGGATTAAATGAAATGGAAGATGGAGGAGCAGAATGGAGGAGGGCTATGGGGAGGGATAACTAACACTAAAGACTTTTGAGAAAGCTATATGAATGCCTACTACTGGAGAAGCTTCCTAGATTATATTCATAAACACATACACATATAAAGAGTTTAAATGGAGTTACTATATAATAGAAGGAAAATGCCTCTCTCAGAAAACAGAAACTATCAACCAAAAAGACCAGAGGCAGGTTTGGTACCTCTTTTGGAACTGTTGGCCAGTGGGGTACCATAGACCTTCAAATAATACTGGTTATTGTCATTGCTGTTGGTTACGCTCCAGAACTTGAAAGTAAGACACTGCTGGTGAAGACACCACATACTAGAGTCAAAGGACATGAAGAAATCAAGTTGGTACCAACCTGGAAGCTTCATTCCTACTGGCTAACATTCACAGTACTGGAAGGTTCCGTGCACACTATGAGTGGAGAAGAGTAAGCAACAGTCTTTCCCAGCTGTGAAACCTGTGAGTTATAATAATGCAACTGCCAAGATATGCCCACTGGTGCAATAAAGGCATGATGTCATGAGAGTAACTAATCCTTTCTGATTAGATTTAAACCCTGCTCCGCAAGATGGGACTTGTGCTTGATACCATTAACTGGACCAAAACCCCGTGGTTGGCTAGGTCATGTGCCCAAGAAGAGAACCTAATACTGTTACTCTGTTAAGTGGACATAGCAATAAGCTATCCCATAAATTCTTATTTTTATACCCAAAGATTAGTGTATCTCTCAACCCTCATCAAAGAAGTTTCTTTTTGAAGTAGATGAAGATTAATATACAGACCCACACCTTGTCAATGTATATATACCCTCGAGGCTCAGGGATCATCATGGCAGGGGGCAGAAAGATTTTAAGAGCCAGAAGTAGTGGACATCTTCAGCAAACAGTTTTTGCTGGACATGGCAGGGCTGTTGCACGCATGAACTTATAGTGGCTGTGACCACATGCACAAAGCTTGCATAAGATCGAGCCAGGCAGAAGCCCAGCATAGCCAGGTGTGGTGGTACATGCTTCAGCCCCAGCACTTGGGAGGCAGAGATGGTGGATATCTATGAGTTCAATGTCAGTCTGATTTATACAGCCAGTTCTAAGTCAGTCAGGGCTATGTAGTAATACTCTGTCTCAAACAAAAAAGCACTGATGGAGGTGGAGCTCATGAGGTCCCCTGCCCCTATTGCAACTGATGATTGCTGGGGCAGAGAGAGTTGTATTTCTTTGGAGACACAGCATTTGAGAGACAACCCGTGCTCCAGGACATTATCTTATACCACTGCACATACAGAGAGCACTCAGTGGGCTCAGTGTGTTTATAAAGAACACATGAAGTTGAGAAGGAACAGTGGGAAGAGAGATAGGGGAGGGATTTGAGATGCGAGAATGAGAATTGCATTTGATCACTTCTATACGCAGGCGTGGAATTCTCAAACAATTAAAATTTGCCACAAAAATGACATCTAAGAGTCTAAAGCACAGCTCAGAGATTGCAGCAGATGTGTTCTGCTTAGGAGGAAGAATCTAGAGCTCAACCTTCCCCAAAGTAGATAGATCTTGATAAATAGCCTGGGTTCTCAGGTAAAAGACAGAAAAGCCATGCTCTAGGAATTATAGCCTTGTCTTCAAAATGACCACTGTAACTTGAAAAAAAAAAGGACAAATAATGTATTATCTACCACTTCCCTTCTAATAAAGCCTCAAAGCAACGTTTGGCAGAATCAGGGAGACCTTGATCATCTAGTTGCTGCCCAAAGAGATGTTTCTCTACTAGAAAATAACTCCAATTACACGTTGCATAATATTTTATTTGCAACATCCAGCATCTAATTAAAAGTGAGAACGTATATTAAGAAACAGAAAAAATTTCAAAAACCAGAAGAAATTGATGAAGATTCGAGTATTGTACAAGAGTAAGTTAGGAAAAAATAGCATGAATATT